CAGGAAATTGTCACCATAAAACCATAAGCAGTGGTGGGGGGGACAACTCAGAATAATTCCTGAAACTATTCTTAAATGCATTTTGAATTGACTGGATTTGGTGTTGATTTCACAACACATTTATGCAGCAAGCAGTAAAATCTCTAGTGTGTATTTATTCCATTGCCAATAAAGTAATTTTTAAAGCATTTCAGATCATCATCAGTTCATGTCTATGCCAACATTTGAAATGGAGCTGTTCACAACAAACTGATGTTAGTATGAATCTGGTAACATGCTTTATACTGTAGCATACATAAACCAAATAAAACTCTCAGCATTATACGACAAGTTTCATGTGAAGCCACCACAATCAGTATTTCTTTTAAAACTCCCCTGCATTTGCATTTTCTTCCTACATGTCATTTGCCTTTCTATCAAAGGCCTGATTTTCATAATAAATATTTGCAAGTCCAATGGGAAACAATAGGAGACACAGTGATTGTTTCAGAATCCTGAATACCTTCCTCGGGGGTGAGGGGGCAAGGGGAAAGAGAACAAAGCTTTTGATATAGTTGCTGTCTGTGCATCTCATGTTTTGAAAGAGAACGCTATTCCTGTCTGATTGGCAAAATCCAGGCAATCTTTGCTTATGCAAGGTATGCTAAAAAGATCTGAGGGTCTTGTGTGAACATTCACCTTTTATCTTCTACTTCAGTGCAAAAGATGTCCTAATTTTTCCAGTCAAAACTCCTTATTTAACCTTTATTTATTCTAAAATTTCCATCAGTGGGAATTCGTGTGACACTATCATCCAGCCAGCTTTAGAGGGAACCAAATGAAAATAATGCTTTCAACTTGCATCCTATTTTCTAGTTGGGAAACCATGTCCAAACACACAGTGTTCCAGTTTGATGGAGGTTTTTTTGGTCTTTTCTAGTGAAAGTAGTGGTTTTTCCCCAGTGGCACACTCCTGTGAATGCAGTCTACAGTGAACATGCTCAGAAAAAAAAGCAGTTGTTTTGCTTCAGGAGAACAAAAAGATGCGAAGAGGAGAGCACTCATGGTGTTAGGTGAAGCACCCTACATCAGCCAGTAGGGGTGAGGCATCCTGCAAACATTTGCTGTTGCATGGGAACCTAAATATTTGCACCTCCCTAAGGTAGGCCAGTGATTCTATAGCACCCAAGCCACAAGTGGTAGAAAACGCTGCGAGAAGGATTAACGTATAGAAGGAAGTCCTATGTTTGAAATTCTGAGTAGTTATACAGAGGAAAAATTAAAATTACTGATAATTCTGACCCTCTTTTATAGATTTTCATTGTTACAAAGAGAAGGAGGAACTAAATGGAGACTCCAACTCTGAGAACAAGTAGCTAAACTTCTGTGAGCTCAGGACTGCTTCAAGTTCATCAGAGATCAATGGCTGAAGGCAAACCTGCAAAATTTGATCTATACAGAGGAAGTGAAATAAAGACTAACTTGGCTGAATCGTAAGATCTTCAACGACCTGAAAGAAAGTAGAAAGTAGGTCAAATTACTCAATTATGAATAAATGTATAGAACATGTATGGACAGCCCCAGAAAGATTAAAGTCCCAAAATGTTAGACAATTGAAATTTAAGTGTTGGAAAGATGCATAGTGAGAAGACCAAGGCAAAAATTGTTCTGTTATTTCATAGAGGGAGAAATCTATTTAATCATCATCTAATTACTGATGATGCTGAGATGCCAGTATCCTTAATGCCTTCTTTAACCTCAGTCTTCAATTTAAGAAGGCAAATCTGATTTCACTGCTGGCACCACTGATAAAATGGCTGGAAAAATGAAAAAAAAAAAAAAGGAAAATACTTAGGCAAAGTTAAAGATTTTTGGACTGACTGGACCTGATGAAACTCCCTTAGGGTTCAAGCAGTGTTAAAGCTGCTACTGATTCTCAAAGAGAATCAACAGAGAATGAGTAAGGTTCCAGAAAACTCAAAAAATATTGCATCTCTCTTAAAGAGTGGAAGGAATGAGATCTACAACCTGGTTAGCTGAAAACCTACTAAAAATTAGTAAGTCAACAGGTAATCGAACCATTTGTAAGCACCTAAAATATAAAGATACGAGAAGTTACAGCATGGATTTGTCAGTAACAAGTACTACTAGGTCAATCTAGTCTACTTCTACCAGATGGTAACAGGCTTTGTGGATAGGGTAGAAAAAGTGAGGATCATAGAGTTTTGTATAATGTGCTCTTAACTCCCCAGAATACGCCCTAGATAAGCATATAAAATGACTGCAAAATTATTTGGAAACAATTACTACTCCTGAGCTGAAAGGATACATTGAATGGGATTTCACTGAGATGTGTTGTGGATCCAGAAGTATTCAGTGCTTTCATCAACATCTCTGATGACTGAACGAAGTATGGTTCAGAAACCGTATCTACAGGAAGAGGTTCAACTCTGCTGAAGCACAGCATTACGATTCAGAAGGATCTTGGCAGACTGGAGAAACTGAAATGCCACCGAATAAGGAGAAGCAGAAGGTTCTACACATACAAAGGAATGATCGACTGCACAAGTATATACCAGTATAAAAAAGCAGTTCTTCAGAAAGGAGAGATTATGGATCTTGAGCAATGCTAGGCTACCTTGCATTATGCTGATGCTGGAATGCATGAAAATGCATGAATAGGAGTATCACAAATAAGGTAATGAAAAAATAATCCAGCCATTATTATTTAAACTGGAACAGTCTGCTGGGTTTTCAGGTCTGCACTCCAAGATAGTCGAGAACCAACTCAAAAATATCAAGAGGAGAGGAAAAATGGCAAAGGATTCCAAAACCCCAAACTACAAGGGCAATTAGAAGGGCCAGGAGTTCTCTGGCCTAAAGAGATCAGAGAGGGCAGGCAGAGGCATTCACTGCATCAAGAGGAAAGGGAGAATCTGCTTTCCATGTGTAGCAGTTAGGTGAGGTATTGGGAAACTTCCTGTTTGCCAAACCAGTTAAGTAAGGACTGTGCACCACTCAGGGACCGTAAAATCTCCATCAGTGCAGGTCTCTAAATGTCCTCCTGCGATACAGCAGGGCCAGCTGATCCAAGGCTGAGATAAGCAAAGGAACTAGACAGCCTCTCAAAATGCCTTCCAGCACTGTTTTCTTCCTCTGCTATGGCTGTAACTAAGGTTGAGATTATCCCCTGTTCCTTGTTTTCAGGTTTTGTTCTAAATTCTAGCTTACGTGACTGCCCATGATGAGTAGTCTCAGGAGTGGCTGTAAATATGTAGCCCTTCCCATCCTTTCGCACCCCTTCTGCAAGCATGCTAAATTGCCTGGTGGCACAGTCACCCGGGAGTATGCTCAGGTGCATTAGGTCTCATGTGCTGCAGAAAGCATTTTCCAGTCGAGCTCACTGTCTCAAGACCAAATTTAATCATTATTTGATATTATGACAATCTGCAAATTATGTATTTGATATCATGACAACCTGCAAACAGCGCTCAGAAAAGCAGCAGGTGTATTTCAGGAGGGCAGTGACACTCCAGAACAACAATCTAGGAGAGTTAGCCATCCTGGATGTGCTGGGACAGCTCACAACACAATTTTGCACATTATTATTATTATTCATTCACAAATGGTGATAAAACAATTACATTTAATAATCAGCAAGGACCACAGCTCCCAGACAAAAAAGACAAAATAATCACCACAATTTTTCAGATTTCCCAGCTTGTGTTTCCTTTGTGCATGTCCTGCAGGCTTGATTTGTGTTCTCTTTGCTTTTGATTAAAGAAAAATAAACTGGCGTTCTGATTCTGCCCTCATTTAAATTTAAATAAAATCTGACACCCTCCACTGAAATTAAAGATCTTACATACCAGTATAAAACAGATCTAAACGAGCAGAATCAGATACCTGATGTATTTATCCTTTAAATAAATAACATAAATATCTCACAATATCAAACAAGAACTGCATACCCTTTTAATACTGTGATCATTTACAAGAAAAGGAACATTTCAAAATGCAGGTATGCTGCCAACACCTGCGTGAATTATATTATAGAATGATGAAAGTTCATATTAGCAACATAATTAATTACTCCTGGATGCACTCTGTTGGTCCACACTTTCTGCCTTCTAAGGAAAGTTCATCAGCAACATACTGATCTTGCACATGGCTTATTCTTTCCTCTCAGCCCTCACCTTTGCAGCCTCCATGTTCAAGGGTATTCAAGTAACATGTATGATTCTGAAATGGATATAAAAAGAGCAAAACCAAAAATTCCCAGAAAATTGTCTTAGGGGACTGCAGTAAGTATCAGCTACTTAATGAGAAGTTATCTGGGGGACAGCATAAGTGATTTGATATATCAGGAGGTTGCCTGTGCGATGATGTCGATGTTCATTACATTACAAATCTGGTAGAAGTAACCCGGAAAAAAAAAGTAAAGGCAGGTTTTTTAATAATAGAAAATTAGTGCACTTTGATTTCATTTCTGGAAACATTTGTATGCAAATGCAGCCATCCTGTGATGCATCTAATAATTCCAAAGTCAGATAACTGTTTTAACCTCACATTAAAAATATGAAAATATAATATAAACATATAAAAACATTTGGCAACAAAGTTTCTGTAATACAAAGGATGGCTAAATACTGTGTTTTGGGATTACAGGCTCACTTTTAAAATCTTGTATATTCCTTTGCAACAGCTAATGTTTTCTGAGGAGAAAATGGAACATGAAACAGGATTTCAGAATGCACAGCAGGTTCTCTTCTTACTTTCATTTAGAGCCACAACATCTAAGTCATATAATAAACAGGATTTCTGTAAAACAAACAAAAGCAAACACTTAATTAAGATAACTAGAACTCAACAGTTGAAAAGCTTGAATTTTCACATATTTTAATATGTAAAAGATTTGGTGGGGTCACTGGATATAGTTTTCCTTTGAATATTTAATTTAAAAATTGCAGTTCTCTAATAAATTAGATGGAGACTGATGCCCATGCAAGTTCCAGCTTGGTGTATTTACATTCTTTAGCTGCCTCAAACATCTCTCCTAACTCTGAAGGTGACAGATGACAGAACGTGTCTCTTGAGGAGACACTACAAACCATATGAACGGATCCTGGAAACCCTTACTCACATGAATTGTTCTAAATGTACAGGTTCTTCTGTTGACTATACCAATTTTCACTAATTTGCAGTTAAGTACACTAATCTCTGAAGTATTGAGCACGGAGTGCAAAAATCCAGTTGAAGGAATAGGAATACAGAACATCGGTACCCATTAAAAAAAGGCATAGGCTATTAATTCTTCTATAAAGGACATAAACTTGTTTTGTGAAATTCACTACAAATTTTCTTGGCTCCATTTAATAATCAGGAATACCCCCAAATGGAAACAACTGAGTCTTTATCAAGATAAACTATCAAAATAGCACTCCACCCTTGTAAAACATTTAGGTACTGATTGCAAAAGCAGATTAAAAAAAAGAAAACACAGCAAAATCAGGACTCTTCCTTTCAGCAATAAACTCAAGTAGATAATGAGCACTGACCAGAGAAACAATCGAGCCCAGTTGTGCAATACAGCAGGAGTACATGTTGCAATCCTGCCCTCTAAAACTATGAACACTGAACCCTGAACTCAGGCACAAAGACATTGAGAATATTGTCACATGCCTAGGGAAAATAATGTCCTAACTTCACTGCTTGCCATTCTGCTGCCTGCTTCTTGGCAGGTTTACCAAGTACGTAATGATACACAGAGGAGTAAGCACAACCACTGGATTCACCACATTCCTCTCTCAACCCAAACCCAACAGCCATAAACAACCATTTCTGACAATAAAGAGGAGCTTCCAAAGAGGACAGCCATCTGAGCTGCAACTCATGAAATTCAAAGCACAGGGGAAAAAAAAGGCAGAGGAAAAGAAAGGCATCATGTAGCACAATGCTAATCGTGGTTCAGAACTGAGAACTTACACACATCATGTCACAGGGTAGTCAAACATTGACTACATCCAGAAAGGTTCACCTAAAATCACTCGGCTGAATCAAAACGAGGGGAAAACAAAAGGTTCCCCCACATTACAAGAACTCTTACACCTCTTTGACTGAGAATATTTAATACTCTCTAAAATTCTGGAGAAGACGTGTGAAGTTTGTTTCCTGTAGCCATAGTTTTAGCTCTCCCAGCGTGCTGGCTGTCCTGTGCCAGGGTCATCCTCAGGAGGAGACTGGCTGAGCCCCTTCCTCCCGGGGCTGCAGGGGCCCAGGGAGGCGTCCACAGTGCACGTTGCTGGGGGAGATGATGAAACACCTGGGAAGGGATCAGAAGTGGTGGACAGAGGCAGGAGCAGAGGGCAGGAAAGGTACCGTAGTGTCTAACCTCAGGATGGATGCTGAAGCTGTCATCAATAAAATTATTAACACTTACTGTTCAGACTCTAGGGTACTGGAAGATCGTGACTTACTGATTTAAGGAATTACTTGTCATTAGTCACATAT